GTAGCCGCTCGGAGCATCAGCCAGGCTGATGGAGATTTCCTCTTGACATCCACCACTATGGAAGTTCTGATATTCGCCAGGGTTATGTTCCGTAGTGCAGGGAGGGAGGCCCTTTTGTGCTGGAAGATCTTCGCTGTTCTGAGCGCCCAGACAGCCCCAATAAAGACCGCCCTGATGACCTCAATGGCATAGGATCTCTCCTTCCGGACGTTCTGATGGCTGAGGTACGGGCCGATGAGTAAGGAAGTCTCCCATTCGCCGATGGTCATAATCAGAATGTCGCCTCCAACCGCCTCTCTCCACCATGCCCAGAATTGTCTCTGGATCGGGCACTCAAGCCAGAGATGTGAAAGATCTTCGGGCTCGGTCAAGCAATGGGGACAGGAGGGGTCGTTGAACGATGTGTGAGCGGCAATCCATTGCTTGGTGGGGGAGGGCGAGGTGCAAGTTGACCCATAGCAAGCCGGCGTGCTTCTGATTTGGCAGGAGTTGCAGGCCCGCACAAGTCTTACCCCAAGATGCCTCGTTCCACGTTGCTTCCACGGTCTGCCATCGAGTCTTAATCTCGGTGTGCATAGGGACAGGGGGCGTTAACGACCGGTATATGACCTTGGTGCAGACCTGGTGGAGGCGCTCAGGCTTCCTCTGGGAGGCCTGGGGCCTCCATTCCCACATGGAGGGATCGACTGCTAGGGACAGCGGCCTACTGGTGGGTTGGAAAGCCACCAGTAGGGAGCCAGCCGTAGGGAGCCAGCCGTTATGTTCCGGTCTCCTTTGCATGGGACCGGTGATGTGTCTGTTGGTGGATGATGCTGGGCCCACAGTTTGCCAAGCATCGGCCAGAAACCATTGTGAGCCGACTTTGGCCTGCAGCTGAAAAAAGAGGAGGGGCGAGCCGCTGTCCTGCGGGGTGTTGGGTCGGAGAACCGCCCATTCCCCACGGTACCTTAGATCCGTTTGAAGCATGTCTGTCCATTCCTCTGGGATGGCTTGTTGGATACGTCTAAGCCGTCTTAATTTATCCGTTTGTCCTCGCAGTGCTTCGATCATTAGGGATTCATCTTTCCAATCTCCCTTGAGTTCGTCCCAAATATCCGCCACCCTTCCTATTCCGGCCGTCACCCATGCCCTACCGAAGGCTCCTTTGGTCCTCATCCAGGTGAAAGGGCGTCCTTCAGTGTCGAGGATCATCGGGTTATCAAACAGAGGCTGCTGAAGGATCTGTTCTCTGGAGGAAGGCGGACGCAGGCGAAGAGGAGACAGTTTCCTCCAGAGTGTGAGAGTGGGTGTCCACAGCGCTCCCCGCATGAGGTTACCTAATAGGGAGGGTTGAAGGAGAGCCGTTATGACATCCGCAGGGTGGAGGCGCATGGCGTCTGCCATAGTCTGCAGGGTCAGTACCTTCCATGGGGCTGCGTCGTCTTCCAAAATCAGCCAAAGAATCGTCCGCAAATGTAGCGCTCGGATCTGGTTAGAGGGGTCTACTATGCCAAGGCCGCCAACGGATCTTGGTTGGACGAGTTTCTTCCATGCTACACGATGGATGGTTGTTGGTGTCAGGGGATCGTTCTTCCAAACAAACTTCACCAGATCGTTGGTAATTTAGTTGTGCTTGTTGGCTAGGCATCGATACCGCTCCTGTGTACCAGAGCATCGAAGAAGCCGCGGTGTTGGCCAGGAGAGCTCGACCAAAGACTCAGCCTGCAGTCGTTTGGCGCAGCACGCCATACGATTGACTGCTTTCTGCATAACAACCTTGATTTAAATGCCATTTGAGAGTGCATCGGGCATTACGATTCCCAAATACACTGCGCCGCCAGTGATGGGTTGAACTCGCATGTCGTTGAAAAGGTCAGCGGCGTTCATATCCGGGACCAACGCGACCGACTTATGCCAGTTCAATTTCGCATCGGCATAGCGCTCAAAGCGCCCGATCTGGGTTGTAAGTGCCCTCACGCTAGTAGGCGTGAGGGCAGTGATTGCCCCTGTGTCGTCAGCAAAAGCTGAGCTCTTAAGTTGTTTGCCATGTGGGAGGGGGAGGCCGATCAAGTCACGATTTGCGTGCAGCATATCGTGCAGGTGCTCAATAAATAGCGCATACAGCGCGGGAGAAAGTGGACAGCCCTGCCGAACGGATCGCGTAACTTTGATTCTCTGAGTGAGAAAGCCATTAATCAGGAGTCTTGACTCTGCCGCACTGAAAAGTGTAATGACCATGTTAACGAATTGGCAGCCAAGTCCTCTTCTCAGGAGTGCCTGCCATAAAAAGGGCCACGACACTCTATCGTAAGCTTTCTCGAAATCCAGCATCACAAAGGCCAGGGGGGGGTGTGAGCGCTGGGCCTGCCATAGCACCTGTCGCGCCAAAAGGAGACTAGTGATGATGTGGCGACCGGAAATAAATCCCGTTTGCATCTCATCCACTATCTGCGGGAGCAATGTGGCTAAGCGGTTGGCCATAACCTTCGCGAGCAGCTTGTATGGGGCCAAAAGCAGCGAGATGGGGCGCCAATTTCGCACCTCACTGAGGGGACCCTTCTTGTGTATCAAAATGACAGTGGCCAAAGCGAAGTCAGGTGGAAGGGCCTCTTGAGCGGTCCATACTTCATTGAAGCCCTGTAACAGGAATGGGCCGAGGAGCTCAAAACACAGTTTGAGGTGTTCCACAGGCATACCATCGAGGCCCGGTGCCTTTGCCGCGGGCATGTCCACTAGGGCCGCCGCTAGCTCCTGCGCCGTGAGCGGTTCGTCCAGCCTCTGACTGTCCTGCGCTGACACCTTCTTAGTGATTTTGCTCCAGACAAGGCGTTCAATGGTCTCTGGGGGGTCCTGTGCTCCCGCAGTTTGTTCGTCAGAGAACAAATACCTACAGTATTCCTCTACATATTGCAGTATCGTCTGCGTGGAGTCCGTTGTCGGTTCAGAGGCGTCAAAGGGGTGGTTGATGGCCAGTATCAGCGAGGCGGGTCTGTCCGCACGCAATCGGGCGAAAAAGGTTCTGGACATCTGTTCTGCGGCTGCCGTCCTGTTGGTTTTGTTCTTGGATCCCCAGAGCTCAGCGTCCGTATCTGCCATTCCTCCCACTGGCTTTCAGCCCAGCCCATTGAGCCCACCACTCATCTTCACCCTCCTGGGTGTCGGGTCCGTCCCCAAGGTCGAGTGCCCTTTGGGCAAACTCATCCGCGGTGCGTCTACGAGCCCGTTTGGATGTCGCGGCTCGGGCTTTGAGCAGTCTGAGAAGGGTCGTTGTGCCCTCCGTTAACCACGACAGGGTGGGCTGGGAGGGGGATCGCAGCTCAGTCCAGTATTCCCAGTGCTGCAGAATGAAGGATTTGTATGCTGGGTCCGAAAACATCCATGCAGGGGCTGTCGCACGGGGGGTTTGGTTTGCAAAAGGGAGGGAATGGCGAACACGGTTATAATCATTTTGTGGTCAGAGCGGGCGACTGGGATGATGGTGAAATCCAGAAGGTGTCTTATCATCTCTCTTGTCACCCATGCCATGTCTAGCCTGCTGCGTTTTCTAAGGGAGGAGGGGCCTACCCACATGATACCTGCACGATGGGGCCATAGAGATCGGAAAGCGTCCTCCAGGGCCATGTCACTGAGAGTGTTATGCATCGTTTGAATATCTAATCTGTGCTGGGGGTGACCGTCTGGGCGCAGCGGAGGCTCCGTGGTCGTATTGTAATCCCCAATCAAGACCAACTTTGCCGTATCCGGTATAGATGAGGGTAGGTGGGCCCATAATACACGCTTGTCCTGAATCTGGGAGGGAGCGTAAATTGTAGCGATGACTAGTCGTTCTCCCACTATGTCTACGTAGATCCAAGCCCACCGCCCCGATGTGTCTGCAAAGTGGTCAAGGACCTCCCCCTTAAAATACCTGGTGCAAAGCACCGCGACACCCCCTGCAGTCCCTTCCGCCGGGGCCCATAGCTGAAACTTGGCTTTCACGAGCGGGAGCTGGCCATCTGTGAGTCTTGTATCACTAAGCTTGGTCTCCTGAAGGCAAAGGATCTGGAGTTTCTCTCTATCAATCAGCCCTTTAATTTCCCGCCATTTGGCCGAGAAGGATGCGGGGCCGAGCCCCCGGACGTTTAGCGAGGCGATTTTGATAGTCTGGGATATTGCCATCTGTCCTAGTGCGATCGCATGCAAACCCTGTGTTCATCCCGAGTTATCACAGTTCCTCCTAGTATCCAACGCAGTTTGCTAATGTTACCCAGTCATGTGTTCGACTGTTCAATCCCTGCAGGCTGCCCCAGTGCCGTCAGTCCAATAGACAGTTCAAGAGTGCAAGTCACTAGAGGGTTAGCCCCTGTGCAATATATCAATCCCACAGTCTTACCAATAACCATTTATTCAACGGCTCAGCAATTCCACGCATAATGGTAGTGTCAGGCAATTCAAAGTTATCCACTGTGCAATTTATCAAGTCCACACAGGCAGCCACGTTCCCCAACAGCCAAATCCCCCAACCATCACAATACAGTCTCAACAATGGCAATCAACTCAAAGTTCTACACTATGTAGCATAGTAGGGTTCAGCAATTCCACACATAATGTTGGTGGCAGGCAATTCAAAGTTGTCCACTGTCCAATTTATCAAGTCCACCCAGCAGCCACGTTCCCCAACAGCCACGTCCCCCAACCATCACAATACAGTCTCAACAATGGCAATCAACTCAAAGTTCGACACTATACAGCATAGTAGTTCCATGCAGAAGGCATGCCACACGGTGGCCAAAATAGAATCCTAGTGATTGGCTTTGTGCCCACCCTACTTATTCATTCCTAGCCATCCCAGTTCTCAACAATGTTCAAGAATCTCAGTTTGTCAGAACGGCGCTCCGGCCACTAGCACTTATGATTGGCCTAATGCCCATCCTACTTATTCGCCCCACTCTCAACGCCCCACTCTCGGAGTCCCGGTGTCCCGGGTTCCAATCCAAGCTCTGACTATGCTGCAGTCCCAGACCCAGTCTTGACCCCACCAGTCCAGTCCAAGCTCAAACTATACAGCTATTATGCCCGCCCACACTTTCCATCCCAGCATATTTCAAACTGTGCAAGGCCGGTGGAGTCTGTGCCTCTGGCATCATTCGCAGTTCCAGCCCACAGACCCAATCCAATCCAATCCAATCCTAATCATAACATCAGCCAATTTATGTACATAATTGTGCGATCAATTTCGTCGCATGATCCCCTGCCGTATTATGAATCCAGAGCGGCAGAGTCTACACCTTTGTCGACATTCACACCCTCGCAGTTCCAGTCCACAGGTCTAGTTCTAATAGCAATATCACACAGTGTATGTACACTGTTGTGCGGTCAATTCCATCGCATGATCTCCTGCCGTGTTCTAAGCCCACGGCGGCAGAGTCTACAGTTTTATCAACACCCCCAATCCTAATACCAAATGCAATCTCTCACCTAATCCCCTGCCGTGTTATGAACCCAGGGCGGCAGAATCTATACTTCTATTAACATCCACAATCTCGATACCCGTTATGAGCATAGCCAATTTCAATCCAAGCCACGCTCTGGGCTAACATATCTATGCTATTGTATCATCAACTCAGCTGTCTCCTTGGGGCCCATACTCTGCTTTCGTCACAATCGACGATTCCCCTGGCCTCTGGAGATGGAACTTGCAGTGGGACTCGAGGGGGACGGAGGATACAGACACTCAGCCAGAAGCTGGGGCAGAGCTGGGTTGATATGGAATACTGCTTGTCTGATACGATGGGGTGTATGAGGAATGAAGTGAGTATGGAACAAATTGCTCAGCCCACAGATATTGTTAGTCAGCAACCATCATAGCCATCAGGGATATGCTTTATGACTGACAGAACAGGGACATGACGGGGTGCATGAGGAATGAGGGAGCACTCGTTGATTGACAGAAGAGTGTAGGATAGAGCATTAAGTTGTAGGCGTCGTTAGTATGGACACGACTGGGTGCATGAGGAATGAGGGGGCATTAGTTGATTGACAGAAGAGTATAGGATAGAACATTAGGCTGTAGGTGTCGTTAGTATGCAACCATTGTAATCAGTGCACAACCATTGCAACCATGGAAGGGATACTGTATGAGTGGCAGAACAGTGCACAACACAGCACTCTGGGATACATGCGACTATTGCAACCATCGGAGACATATTGCATGAGTGACAGAACAGTACATAGCATAGCACTCCAGGGTACGGATGTTACCGGGCAATTAGTGCAAGTATTAGAAACTAGTGGGCCCCCTGGGGGCATGGATCGCCAATGAAACTGAGACTCGACCACTAGGGGGGAGCGAGGAGACTGCTCCCAGCCTCGCGGAGGAACTGTGCCTGCCCTCCGTTCCTGTGACTGGGTGCACCTGGTGCCTCCCGACAAGAACGCTTCGCGGCATGGAGGTTCCTCTGTGTTCGCTGGAACGCAGCCTCTGTTGCCTGCAACCCTGTCCTAGGACAGGGTTGATACCCCCTTACCCTTCCTTCTTTCCCCCTACCCTTCCCTCTTTTGTGTGGGACGCGGGGCCCAGTTCCCGGCAGGTGCGGCTCCCCACCAATTGACTGGAGCTATTGTGTAAAAAAAAAAAAAAAAAAAAAAAAAAAAAAAAAAAA